GTCAGTGGGGTGCGGTGTCAGTGGAGTGCGGTGTCAGTAATGATCAGTCGGTGGAGTGCGGTGTCAGTGGGGTGCGGAGTCAGTGGGGTGGGGTGTCGGTGGAGTGCGGTGTCAGTGGGGTGCGGTGTCAGTGGGGTGCGGTGTCAGTGGGGTGCGGTGTCGGTGGAGTGCGGTGTCAGTGGAGTGCCGTGTCAGTAATGATCAGTCGGTGGAGTGCGGTGTCAGTGGAGTGCGGTGTGAGTGGAGTGCGGTGTCAGTGGAGTGCGGTGTCAGTAAGGATCAGTCGGTGGAGTGCGGTGTCAGTAAGGATCGGTGTAACAGTCACTTGTTTCCTCAGCTTCTCATTGGCTGCCATGTCGGAGTCGGCGGACTCTGGTGTCTGTCCGGCGGACTCGGTGATCCTCCCCCAGCAGGTCTCAGTCCGGGTAAGGAAAGTCGTATAATAAAAGTTCCGGCACTTTGCCCGTCTGTGCCGACATATTACGCTCTGTATGTTCTTATTATTATTTGCATGTTAGGAAGATTCCAGGAGCCGGGACACCAATTTTCGGGAGCTGGGGCACCAAATACTAAGAGCCCGGGAACCGAGTTCCAGGAGCTGGGAAGAGGAGACATGATGTGGCCCCCCAGTAGACATAATGCGGCCCCCCCCAGTAGACATAATGCGGCCCCCCCCAGTAGACATAATGCGGCCCCCCCCAGTAGACATAATGCGGCCCCCCCCAGTAGACATAATGCGGCCCCCCCCAGTAGACATAATGCGGCCCCCCCCAGTAGACATAATGCGGCCCCCCCCAGTAGACATAATGCGGCCCCCCCCAGTAGACATAATGCGGCCCCCCCCAGTAGACATAATGCGGCCCCCCCCAGTAGACATAATGCGGCCCCCCCCAGTAGACATAATGCGGCCCCCCCCAGTAGACATAATGCGGCCCCCCCCAGTAGACATAATGCGGCCCCCCCCAGTAGACATAATGCGGCCCCCCCCAGTAGACATAATGCGGCCCCCCCCAGTAGACATAATGCGGCCCCCCCCAGTAGACATAATGCGGCCCCCCCCAGTAGACATAATGCGGCCCCCCCCAGTAGACATAATGCGGCCCCCCCCAGTAGACATAATGCGGCCCCCCCCAGTAGACATAATGCGGCCCCCCCCAGTAGACATAATGCGGCCCCCCCCAGTAGACATAATGCGGCCCCCCCCAGTAGACATAATGCGGCCCCCCCCAGTAGACATAATGCGGCCCCCCCCAGTAGACATAATGCGGCCCCCCCCAGTAGACATAATGCGGCCCCCCCCAGTAGACATAATGCGGCCCCCCCCAGTAGACATAATGCGGCCCCCCCCAGTAGACATAATGGGGGCCCCTTTAGGATTCCGTCCTCTCAGTTCGGCCCCTTGTTTCATCTGACATGAGGAAGGATCCCTGGAGTCCTGTGATTCTTAGAAAGCCATTTCTGCGCTCCTGGAACAATGCCGCCATGTGTAAGGGGCCTAACAGCCCCGGGACTGACTGCTTCCTGAATTCTGTACCCTGTCTCGGCTGACTGTTTTGTATTTTCTTCCCCCCCAGGCCCTGGTGACCTTCCACGATGTGTCGGCCTGCTTCTCGGCCGAGGAGTGGGGTGCGCTGGAGGACTGGCAGAAGGAACTGTACAAGAACGTCATGAGGGAGATTCACGCCGCCCTGCTGTCCATGGGTGAGAGCGTTTTGCCGTTGCAGGAACCCGGGTCCCCCCGCCGAGTTTTTTTGGGGGGATATCCGGATTGCCGGGAATGTTTTTTGTTTCTAAAGCTGAACTTCAAGCAGAAGAACACACCGGGGTTCATTCATAAAAGTCCCGCCCGGCGTATAGCTGGCCCGATGCCCAGTAATGCCCAATAGTCCCTCCAGGTGGCGCTGATGAGTATTGGCAAACTTTCATCAATGGACCCCAATAAGGTTTACATTAGGAACCCCATTGACATCCTTGTGTAATGTCCGGCAACACACGTCACATGACACGCAACACCATTCATTTTGGATGGCACCCCATTAATTTTGGATGGCACCCGGTTGCACATTTTGCATAGTGCCCCCAACCCTCTCGAGCATCACCAATGCAACCATAGAGTGTTACAAAATTTTGGAGCATGTCCGATTCTTGGGACGTCGCGGTGTGTCGCCCGCCCAACGATTTCCATGCAACACAAGAATGCGAATGCCCTGGAGATTTTAAATGAGGGTACCCCCCAATCTGTCTGGAGATCGCCCCCCCATAATTCACTGCAGAGAAGGGGGAGGAGCGCGGTCAGGCTTTGTTGAAGAAAACAGAATGTGTGAATGAGTCTTCTTCTGCTCTTTCACTGTCCAATCAGCAGGCTGGGGGTGTGTTCTTGGCCAAGAAGATGTGGCGGTCCATCGTCTGGCTGTGTAGTCCGGTAGATCTCAAGACCGGCTGCACAGAATAACTTACTGATGGAGTTGTTAGCCCCATATCCTCTCCTGTGGAGGAGCAGAGGAGCCCACTTTATCTTGGGGGGGGGGGGGGGGGGGGGGTTGGGGACCTTCACCGC